GTTGGTGTGTCAGCTCAGGTCCTCCCTCTTTAAAGATTTCAGCAGGGATCCCGTCTGGTCCACTGGCTTTGTAATTTTTCTGTTGGCTGATGGCATTGCTGACTTCTTCCAAACTGGGCAGTGCTGCAAGCTCATCCCTGGTTTGTTGTTGTGGGATTTGTGAGAGGACCTCTTCGGCCACATTGGAGCTGCGGTTCAGGAGGCTTTGGTAGTGTTCTTTCCAACGTAGTGCAATTGAGTTTTGGTCCTTCAGGAGTTTGGATCCATCTGATGAGCGTAGAGGCTGTATGCCATGGTTTCTTGGTCCGTAGATGACCTTTGTGGCCTTGAAAAATCCCTGAGCATTATGGGTATCTGCCAGGTGTTGGATTTCTTCGGCCTTCTTTGTCCACCAGATGTTCTTGAGTTCTCTTGGACCTTTGGACCTCAGCTTTTGCACTGGCATAGATCTTTTTCTTAGCTGCACAGTTGATGTCTCTCTGCCATGCTTGGAAGGCTTTCCTTTTCTTGTCAATTAGCTGTTGGATCTCGATGTCATTTTCATCAAACCAGTCTTGATGTTTCTTGGCTTGGTATCCAATAGTTTCTTCGCAGGCTTGGATGATGGAGGTCTTCAGTTTGTTCCAATGTTCCTCAACATTTTCGGGGTGTACTGTGGGTAGATGGTCCTTGAGTGCTGTTTGGAGATGGGCTTGTCTGGAGGGCTTCTGAAGGGCTTGGGTGTTCATTTTGCGCCTTGTCTTCCTTCCTTGGAGTCTGCGCTTGGGAAGGATCTTGATAGCCATCGAGGATCGAATTAGCCTGTGGTCAGTCCAGCAGTCGTCAGCACCTGTCATGGCTCTTGTGAGGAGCACGTCACGGCGGTCTCTGGCACGTGTGATTACATAGTCTAAGAGGTGCCAATGCTTTGACCGGGGGTGCTTCCATGATGTCTTGAACTTGTTTTTCTGGCGGAAGAGCGTGTTGGTGATGACAAGGTTGTGCTCCGCACATTTGGTGAGAAGCAGGATGCCATTTGAGTTGCTGTTTCCAACCCCGTCTTTTCCTATGGTCCCTGGCCACAGGTCGAAGTCTCGGCCGACTCTTGCCGTGAAGTCCCCCAGGAGGATGATTTTGTCCTCCTTAGGTATCCCCGATAGGACGGTGTCCAGCTGACAGTAGNTGTTGGTGATGACAAAGTTGTGTTCCACACATTTGGTGAGAAGCAGGATGCCATTCGAGTTGCTGTTTCCTATGGTCCCTGGCCACAGGTCAAGGTCTCGCCCGACTCTTGCATTGAAGTCCCCCAGGAGGATGATTTTGTCCTCCTTAGGTATCCCCGATAGGACGGTGTCCAGCTGACAGTAAACATTTTCCTTGATATCTTCGTCAGCATCTAGTGTTGGTGCATAGGCACTTATGATGGCTGCCCGTTGGTTTTTGGCAAGATCGATTCGGAGGGTTGAGAGTCGTTCGTTGATGCCAGTGGGTGCTTCGGTCAGATGCTTCACCAGATCATTTCTGATAGCAAAGCCAACTCTGTGCATTATTTGGTCTTCTTCAGGCAGTCCCTTCCAGAAGAAGGTGTAGCCTTCTTTTTCTTCCTTCCGCTGTCCCTCTCCTGATCTCCGGGTCTCCTGAAGGGCTGCTATGTCGATGTTGAAGCATCCCAACTGCCTTGCAATGATGGCAGTTCTGCGTTCGGGGCGTTCACTGTCACTGTTGTCCATCAGTGGCCATACGTTCCATGTACCGAAGTTCATTTTTCTTTTTTGGCTGCAGGGTGGTGACTCCATTGGACGCAGTAGTCCAGTCAGGGATAAGAGAGGCAGACTATGTTTAGGGCACCTTCTCTAGCCCCCTCCTTCCCCGTGTGGGGTGAGCAGAGTGGGTCCTCAAAAGGGCTGCTCAGTTGTGGATACAGCTGTGGATATAGTCGTGGATACTCAACTGCCTCGGACCTTGAGGTAGAACGACTGAGTCCGTACCCACCGCCCATGTGCCAGTCTGTGACTAGGGGCTTCCAGATTTCACAGTCCTGCCCCCGTCGCCACTCGCTGATCGCCATGGGACTTTGGTTGGTTTGTTTTTATTTTCTTTGGAAGACGCCTGTGCGTGAGTTTTTTTGTTAAAGTGTGGAGGTCAGTGCACAACTGATCAACACACAGTCTTCACAGAGTGAGGTTCCACTGGTGGTGTAGTTTAACACAATGACCATGGCTTCTCAGTCTGTTGCAGCCTTCCTCCGCCTTCACACCGTTGTAACATGTACCATGTTATCCTCCGCCTGCTCCGCCGTTGAGGTCTTTGGGTCTTTGGACTGTGCTTGGTCTGGAACTTCCCTCGCGGCCACTCCTGGGAGTGCACGACTCCAGTTGTTGTGCCCGCAGATTCATTGGAACACACAAACCCCCTCACCACGACAAGTACAGAGATATAGAATGCAAAGATACAGAATGGGGGACAATGCCTGGCTAGAGAGCAGTACGTGGAAAAAGATCTTGGACTCCTCGTGGACAACAAGTTAAACATGAGCCAGGAATGTGATGTGNACAAGGTGACAGTCCATCGAGGGGGAATAGGCTTGATTCAATAGCTGTGGTCCCAGTACTATATCATAGGCAAATCTCCTATCTTCTTATTTAGTACTTGGCTCCTATTGTGAACTGTTTTGTTATCATTGAAAGTGTTCAAACAGCCATGCTAAAATCTTATTAGTATGAACTTAAAAAGTAACTCATAGCTTTTCTTTTCTTTTCAGATACAAAGGTCGTGTAGAACTCCCAGACAACCTGAAGTCACTATTTCGTCCTGTGTCTATGATGGTACCAGATTATGAACTCATTGCTGAAATGATGTTATTTTCAAAAGGTTTCAAATCAGCAAAAATACTTTCAGGGAAGATAGTAAATCTTTATCATCTTTGTAGCAAGCAGCTATCACAGCAGGTAAAACTTTCTGACAAATGTGTTAAATTCTTACCGCAAAAATAACAAAGTATTGTGTAGCACCTTAACAAATTGTGTTACATTGCAAACTTTGAATCACCTCAGTTGGCATATTTACATAGTGCTTGAATGCTTTATAACCGTAAAGTGAAAAAATACAAACATTGCAAGCAATCATAACAGTAACAGAGTTTTGGATAGTAATATAGACATCCTTGCCTAAGATGCTTCTGAAATCCTATCTGCTCCCTATACACCATAGACTGGCCATGTGGGAGATTTCAGAGGCAATTCAGTGACAGTAGCAGTATACAAGATTGCCACTATAAGGTGATGAATGACCAGTGTCAGTACTGAAGATGTAGGAGAGGGAAAATCGATGTATACTCTAGCATAGATATTTTAAAAATAACAGCTCTTAAATGTATAAACACTGTGATTTTCACTAAGCAAAAGGTATGATGGTTACAAAACTTTTGGTTTGGGTATGCTGGGTTATCAAGACAGTGCTGAGGAATAGAAGACATGGGGAGACTGCTAGGAGCAGGATAAGAAACTTGCTACTTCCAAAAGATACAGCAATGGTGCCCAAAGATGCTACCAATTTCCAAACCCTTATGATTTACAGAAACCATATGCTAGTTCAGTATTAGTTTGATGATTTTGTCACGTTTAGCCTACCTTAAGAGAGGAAAGTTTAATATAAATATAATAATAATAACAATAATAGTAATAATGCTATTCATTTATATCCTGCATTGGCTATAACATTTTGTAAGCTCAAGGCAGTTTACGAAATATTATAGCCAATGCAGACTGTACCCTTTGGCTACACATTGTTTCCGGACTTTTGAAAGATAGTACTTAATGTATAACTTCCTTCAGCAAACTTACTTCATGCTGTGTTGTTGTTCAAAGGCAGAAACTATTAATTTATGGCTGTTTTGCAATATTCCTGTCATTTGAAATGAGGAGCTATCATCAGCTTTCCATTTCCCTACAATTTGAGCAAAGTAAGCATTCATCATTCCTCACATTCATGAAGAGTTACAGTTCATAATTAACATAGTGCAAAAAGATAAAGTTCAAAGCTAAAGCAGTATGCAAGGAAAGAGGCTATGCACATTTGACTAATTGAATTAATAACACAACATACAAAGACATAAAATAAGAACATAAAATAAAGAATAACAGTAGTTGGGGCTGCAGTCAGGTGTGTGACAGTATATTGAAAAGGGGGTTGATGCAGAGGAAGAAAACATCAATTTAGAACAGAGAAAATATGGAAGCAGCAGTTTTAACTAAGACAGTGTCTACGCAAATTGAGAAAGCCACATTTTCCCCAAAGCTAGCAATTTTCACAACACATGATGACTTTAGGTAAGAATCCAGACCTTTTATCCCTTAATCCCATTTGAAGTAAGCAAAACCATGTTAATATTCTAGAATTTGCAAGAAACTGTGGAGTGTCATTGGGGTTTTCAGCTATCTGGACAGCTGAATGTTCATGTGCCATTTAGTTTTATCCTTTGTCCACACACACATCATCATCACCCTCCCCCTCCCCCTGAGTTTATCAGTGCAGAAAAATAATGGGTCATCCTTATGTCACCACTGCAGCTCATCACTGGCCATAGAACTCCTTGTGAGGGTCTGCCGATCATAGTTGTGTCAGCTGCAGTCATAGCAATGTGCCCACATGATCAACAGGTAAAGGGATGTTCTACAACCTCTTGATTGATCATATTGGTTCCACTCTGTTATGGCCTCAGCAAACTGGACTGCCATAACCAAACTCTCACTGGGAGTTCCATGGCCAATGAGGAGTGGCAGTGGCAACACTAGGACAAAAGGACAGGACAGCAGGACCAAAGCAGTCTTGTCCCAGCTGGATCAGCTAGTCACTGATGTGGTATTGCAAGGATTTGGCTCAGGGTTTATGGCATGGCATCACTGTCAAACTGGGGCTAGTCCAGAGCATAATGCTCCTGACCGGATCTGGATTACATGGCCAGTGTAAAAATTATTATTTGTCTCAATAGCATCAACTTAGGGCCCACCCACACAGGTCCAAAACACAGGTCCTGTCTCAGTTTTACTGGAGGTGTCCGAATTACATCTCTGGTAAAATCAAATTAATGTGGTGTAAACTAAAGTTTCGCTTGTTTATTCCATTTTAATTAAATACCTCATTAGATCTGGGCCTTACTGAAAGGGCTGGGTCCAATGAAGTATTGGGCCTGTGGGGACTGACTTCTGGGGTTGCATTCCATGACACTGGGGGTGAGCCCCCACATCCATTCCACTTCTTTAGGCTTTGAAAAGCCCAGAGGAACAGGATGGCACCCACCCCCTCCCCTCCAGCTCCCCATTTAGGTCCCCAAACTTACTGGAGGGGCCTACCAGCAGCACAGACCTCTCCCTACAGTACTTCTGGCACAAGAAAACAGCGCATCAGGAGAAATCCCTCCCCACTCCCTCCTCCTGACACATCATTTTCTCATGTCAGAAAGACTAGGGAGAGGCCTGTACTGCCAGAAGGATGTGCTGGTAATCTAAATGGGAGGCTTCGGAGTGGCTTCATGCCATCTCAATTTGACTCGGAATGATATGTAGCCACTAACCCCCGGGTTTGGGTTGGGGGTGGGGACTAGAACCCATGCTGAAGCAGGTTACTGTAATCCGTTTTGGCATGGGTTTTAGTCATGTCTGGAAGCACCCTAAGAGGACTGCTTGCTGAAGAGTAAGAAAATGAGTATGTCCCATGCATTGCCAGCTTAGCTGTTCATGGTCTCCATTTACTTGATACTCACCAAGTACACTTGCAAGAGGTTCCAAAAAAGCAAGGGGGAAAAATCTTATTTTATTATTTCTAGGATCATTATGATTTTGGCATGAGAGCGATAAAAACTGTGTTAGTAAGAGCTGGTCAGAAGAGACAAGAATTAAAATCCCAGTAAGTAAGATTTTTAATAACTTTATATTATTTCATTATTAATTTATCTCTTGAATTTGGATGACCAATGCATGAAACTTTAGAAGAGAAGAGAACTGTGGACATCAAAGTCATGTCCACAAATCTAGGTCTGAGTAGACTAGAAATATCCATCTTTCATTTTTCATGTAGTCTTCATTCTTTATCACAGACTTTGTCCCCATGATCTTATGTTCTTGATGCTATCCTTTCATGTCTTTATTAAAAACTTGGATTATTTGTCATAAAATCCTACATAGGAACAACCCTGTGTGATAACTTCTCTATGTTATTAAAAGGAAGAAAGAAGGGAGGAAGAAAAAAGACAGATAGACAGATAGATAGCAGCATTTTAAAGACTATTTTTGAGGGGATTGTGCAACCTGCATTGGATAGAACAGTCAGATGGAATCATTATAATTAAATAAGCTAAACTCACTAAATCATTTTCTGACTTTAAATGTGAAAATGCTTTCCCTTTTCCAAAATTGATATATTATTTATTTCATGTACCTTTGGGCTTCAGATTTCTTAAATTGAGTTCTTATCTAAGACTTTTTCTGATCATAATCCTGTAACTTTGATTTTGAAGAAGAAACTATTTTAATTGAAGATTGAATGAGTTATTTTGCAAAATAAAGCAGTTGTTAACAAAGCCAAGAAGAATTTTAAACAATGTTTTTACAATCATATGGATAAAGGAACTGTGAGGTGAATAGTATTGGATGCCAGTAATGCATGTATGAGAAGATATTTTATGCAATAAAATATATAGCTTGTGAAAAAAGACAATAGAAAATGCAATTAATCTTGGATGAAACTCAGAAGAAAGAAATGGATTTTTAAAAATTCCCATTAAACTCAGCGGTGAATAATCAGATTAAAATGATGTACAAAATGATATACAAAAAGAGAATTTACCACAGATTTCAAAACTGTAGCAACAATGATTGAATTCTTCAATTTCTTTGGAGGATTCCAGATGCAATTGCAAGGGCAAAGATGGATAAAGCTGGCCAAGATGGTTTAAGCACTACTTATTACAGATTTCATATTCCTTGTCTAGAATATGGAAATCCAAAATATTCCAAAATTCTGAAATCCAAAATGCTCCAAAATCCAATATGTGTTGTCACATGGAGACGACTTGTGGAAAAGCAACAAAAAATACATATTCACTGTGTAATTCAGAAGTCGTAACAACAACAACAACTTTATTCTTGTATCCCACCACCATCTCCCCAAAGGGACTCAAACAGGCCTTTTTCCATCTACGATAAGCGAGGCAACTGGCACCTTACCTGTTGGATGAGGCTCTGGCAACAGTCATCCATGCCACGGTCACATCTAGGCCGGACTATTGTAACACCTTGTATGTTGGCCTTCCTATTTATACGACCCGAAAGCTCCGTATTGTCCAGAATGCTGCAGCCAGGTTACTCACAAAAACGCCCATGAAATGCCATATAACACCAGTGCTGCGGCATCTACACTGGCTCCCAATTGAGTATCATGGTTTGTATAAGATGCTGGTCCTGACCTTTAAAACTTTATATGGCCAGGGTCCATTGTATCTTAGAGACCGTCTCTCCTTCTACTATCATCGGAGGTCGCCACGACCATCCCAACGTGATCTGCTCTATATACCGGGTCCTAGGGAAGTGCACTTGGAAAGCACCAGACGCAGGGCCTTCTCTATTTCTGCCCCTGCCTTGTGGAATTCCTTGCCTCCCTATTTGAGAGCCATGCGCGACTTGGGGCGTTTTGTCCTGGTGCTTAAGACCGGGCCGTTTACTGGAGCATTTGACTCATGTTAATTTTAATATTTGTATGTATGTGTTTTATCCTGTGTAATTTCTGCAGTGTAAATCGCCTGGAGCATCTTGGATGGAGGGCGATTAATAAGTAATTAAAGATGAGATGAGATGAGATGAGATGAGACTCAGGGTGGCTTACACATAGCACAAGGTGCCTAAAAACAGACCATAAAATAAAACACAGTATAAAACACAATAAAAAAACACATAAGCATAAAAACAACAACCAAGACTCAATAAAACTGTACTCATCAATCAGTGGTGTTAAGCTGCTGCAAATGTGGCCAGGCTGCAAACAACAGGACAAGGGAGTGAGATAAGTGCAGAGCTGTAACAATGTAGAAAGGGCATGGGATAAAGTGCAAGGCTGCGTGACTATTGTAGAGAACAACTAGGGACTAGGCATTGCTGTGCAACTGTTGAAGAGCTGGGGTAGGGTGGGGGTCAATTGTTCTGTTAATACTATTGTGTCAGTTCCAGTGTTCTATTAACCCACTCATGAATCATGCCTAAAGAACTAAAGAGTCAAATGAGATAAGATATTGGGAGTTGTTTGAACTTCAGGTCAGCTCTATATAAGTGGACAGAATTTTCCTGATATTGCTTTCTATCTTTCTCTCACATGTATAGGAAAAACGTATGAGCAATATGAAGGTTTTTTAAACTTAAAAAAACATACAGAAAATCTAGTCATAAATCTCTTACAAATTTATATTCTATTACACGAATGTCAAACCTTTTAATAAGGAGTCTTAGACTTCGGAATAAAATGTCTAGAATTAAGGACATATGGAATAAGTTTAACCATACATTTTATTTTTAAATAGCACACCTTCAGTTGGCCTGACTTTGCAGAAAGCAATATAACATCAAATAAATACATGTAAGAATATTTTAGAATGTCTCAGGAATAAAAAGGCAAAAGTAACAATTTCCCTCAGATCAAAAAAAGAAAGAAAGTGAACAATGTAATGATGCCTATCTTCAAGATTGCATCTTCCCCTACGAACCAGTACAGACCCTAAGATCATCTGGGGAGGCTCTGCTCTCACTTCCGCTGTCGTCTCAAGCACGAATGGTGGGAACGAGGGAGAGGGCCTTCTCGGTGGTGGCCCCTCGGCTCTGGAACTCACTACCTAAGGAGAGCAGATTAGCACCCACCCTAGTTGGCTCTCTCACCTGTAATCCTGTTACTGTAAATACCTAAGGATGTTACCCTCCCAGCTGTGACGTTTAACTGAATTTGAAGCTTGCATTTTCCCTGGCTCTGCCCAGGAATGATTGCACATTCCCTGATCTTCCCGCACTCAGCACTAAATCCTTCAGCCATGATACTGTTTTTAATTTGTGTATTGTGGTTGATGTTAGTTGATGTTGCTGTTGTTTTTTATTGTGTGGATTTTAATCTGTATTTCATGCTTCATCCTTGTAAGCCATCCCGAGTTCCTTCGGGGATATGATGATGGGGTATAAGTATAAAGTTATTATTATTATTATTATTATTATTATTATTATTATTATTAACCACGAATTTCTTTTAAAATTTATGTAGAAATAAAAAGAAAATGTTTTCTGCAGTGGAGGAATCTCTCATTATAATCAGTGTGCTGAAAGAAGTTAATCTACCAAAGTTTCTAGTCGATGATGCTTCATTATTCGAAGACATTATGACAGATCTCTTCCCAGGGATGAAAGTTCCAAAAGTAAATCCAAAACAACTAGAGGTATTAAAACATATTATCAATAGAAAATGATGTGTTAGAAATAAAAAAATGTTGCTTAACATTAGGCTTAAAATGATAATGATCAAACTCTGACTTCTTGTGCTATTCAAGGGAGCAAATTTGCACTCTTTAAAGTGGTACAAAAACAAACCATCAGGCTTCTGCGGAGTCTTTTCAGCCAGATTTACAAGAATTTTTTAATGTTCCTGCTTGTTTTATTACAACATTTCATTAACAATTAGACAGTGATTATTTTATTTTATTGTATGATCATTGTAATTCAGGCATTTGTTTTCATTTTAGAGTGCAATATCTTTTGCAATACAGCACTTATATTTGCAGTCCTGGGAAAGTCAGATAGAGAAGGCTATACAGTTTTACAACCAAATTATGGTAAGTACATTTGAAATTAAATGTGTCACAGCATTTACATGTGGTACACACATTGCAATCAGAGGTTAAATCAAATTGCTAGCACCACCAGTGTAGACTTGTTGGATCAATTGCTGAATGGTATGTTAGCATTTTAGTAAGTCTAAATCTAGTTGGTCTAGTGTAGTTGGGGCAAGTATTTGAATATAAAAGACTCCAGGGAGATCTAGTACTGCAAGTTTGATGCAGCAACATAGATGCTGTACTAAGAAGAACAGATGACCCACATTTATTTATTTATTTATTTATTTGCCGCATTTGTATCCCACCGTTCTCACCTTGAAGGGGACTCAGAGCGGCTTTACAACAGGTAACAATTTGATGCCCTACACATACACGTCTATGAAATAAACACATATATTAAAACAAGTTAAAATCCAAGCAATTAAAACATCATTTATTAAAATCCAAGAAATTAAAACATACCCTATAGGTACCAGATCCTGTCTGATCATGAAAACTGAGAAAGGTCAACCCTGGTTAGTACTTGGATGTGAGACCAACAATTAATACAAAGTGACATAGACTATATTTTAGAGGACAGAACTGACGAAACCACTTCTGTGTATTCCTTGGCTAAGAAAGCCACATACATTTGATGAGGCTGCCTAAGTCAACAGGCAAATTGAAGGTATACACCCATACACATGCTAAGAATTCTAATTATATTATTGAAAAACATAATTCAAAAAGATTTATTGTGTCTTAACAATATTAAAGATCTATTAATATTTCAGAACTCGTTTTAAAATGTATTTCTAGACTCGTGTTGGTGTGATGCTCGTAGGCCCTACAGGTGGAGGAAAGACTACCATAAGAACAATTTTAGAGAAGGCTTTAGTAATCTTACCTTTGATGGAGATAGACAGTAGTACAAAGCTTGATACTCTTCAGGTAAAAATGGGATTTTTTCCATTAATTTTAGACCTGTTTTAAAACTGGTGTTCATATGTATTCTCTAATAAGCACAAATGCCTGACAGATTGGCTATGAAAATAGCATTATTATGCTATACTCAAAATATTGCCACAATACTAACATTTTTCCCATATAGTTTTGCTTGCATATTTCTGGTAATTGCATTTTTAAAATGTTTTAAAGGATCAGTCTTTTACTCTAGATGCACTGTTCCTGGGAATGGGATTGTTTTAGGTTATGAAAAAAACTTCATGCTAGGGTACTTGCATTTAGAAATGCCAAATAAATTAATCCAATCCAGAATGAGTTTCAGGGACCAATTAAAACTGCCTGCAAAACTGAAGGGAACTTTAATAAACTCCAAAAAATTCTTCTGCAGCCTTGATCTTGATCTGAACTGAAGAGATTCTCTTTTACTACTATTGTTAAAAAGTAGAAATGGTTTTGAGGCAAATAAAATGAAGTATTTTTATGTTCAGTGTTTCATTAAAAAAATTTAAGTACCACCAGCAACCTGTTTAACAAGTGTTCTGAATTTTGCCTTAACCTCTATAAGAAAGTATTTATATTATTCAAAAATATCTTCCACATTTTAAAATTTCAAATATTTAAGTTTAGTTTTGCTTTAAAAGTTTAAAACATTTAAGAAAAGTCATCTTTCTTTCTTTAGTTATGGGGATACTTCCTACCTGTCCTCACATTACGTGCCTTGTGAAGTACTGCACTAGAGGGAACTATTTAAAAACTGAAATATCTTGCTTGTTGGTGTGGTAGGAAAGAACAACCAATGCCAGGATGTCTTTTTTCTTGGGATGGCCAAGAGGAACAATCCACTACCATTGGGTTTCACCCCCATGCTCCAACCAGAATGGCAGGATCCAAGGTTATTTTTCAGTTGAGCCATTAAGAACCCATCCCCTTCTCCAGCAGCTTTTTCAAACCTGCCTAACCAGTCATGTTTGCCCTTCTCTGACAAACTTAAAAGGCAAGGATGTTAGTAAGGATAAATAACATGTATAAAATTAGGAAAGATAATAAATAATATGTCTGTTGGTAAGCTGCTACATGATTTTGAAAACTGAAGCCCAGAGCAATGCCTTCAAAGTGGAGAACATTGCAGTAGCAATGATATCTCTTCTGAAATGTTGAAATTGTCATTTTGAAAACAGAAGCCATTTTGAAAACTGGAGCTGTGAGGCGATGTCTCCAAAGTGGAGAACAACATTGTAGTAGCAATGAAACCCGTCACAGAAAGCTGCAACTGCCATTTTAAAAACAGCAGCTTGAAGGCAGTGGCTCCAAAAGACAGAATAATATTGCAGTAGCAATCATATTGTTATCGAAGTCCTCCAACTACACCCCTAATAAAAATATAAATGAATTGGACTCCATGATTTGTAGTGTTACCAAGGACGGAGGACCCAATGAACTAGAAGCGGCCTCTGCATTTGCGGTCCCCTTGGGTCCTTCCAAAAAACCAGCAGCAGCCCCTCCAACATGACCCCCGGACCTCCACACACCCCGACTGAGCCATGTTGCTTGGGTCTGATCACACCTGTGGGACTCCGCAATACAGAGACAGGTCAGCCAGCTGATCCTCTCCCTTTCCCAACCAGGAAACCAGCTGGACAGCTACATTATAGCCAAAGCACCTCCATTTCCTGGCCCCAGCCACTTTGTATCTCCTTCCTTCCCTCTCTGGCTACTGTGTATCCCCCTTCACTTCTCTTCATCTTCTTTTTATTATTTATTTTCTTTTTCTTGAAAATGTACACATATTTGGATAAGTTAAAAATATAACAAAATATTACAAATGATATCTTCAGTTGCTGCTCAGCCTTGGCAATCCTTCCTCCTTTGTATCTCTCTCCTCCTCCTCCTCCTCCTCTTCTTCTTCTCAAACCCTATAAAAGTAAGGCAAATGTGCGTGAACCCAAAAACTGTGAACTCCAATAACCTATCCCTTGAGTAATCTTCTAGATATCACATACACACCACAGATGCCAACCAGAGATTGGTCATAATCCTTGGACAAAGGACCATCCTGGGATGGCAAGAGGCCATCCATTCACGGTCCTGAGACATCCTGAGTCATCCTGAGACATCCTGAGTCACAGGACAAAGGTCCAGACCAAAACTGTGATTGCAATCCTTCCTGCAGATCTACATCTCCAGACTCTCTCTTTGTCTCCAGATATGAGAACCCATCTGTGACAACAGTGTGCCTTCTGGCCAGACCCTAGCTTTGCATAATCCCATCAGATCGGCCAAGGAGACCTTGTTTTCCCATGCATCTTCTAATGCCAACTATCCATCCATAACTCAATTCTGACTGTTGGATTGTGATCCCCAGGTTGTGCCAGTCAGCTTTTGTATGATAAAATGAATTGATGCATACATATAGAAATACTATAACTATAAGAATAAATTGCAGCCAAAATGTGTTTGGCATCATTTGACAAGATCATTCTGTTTAAGTGTCCTTACAGAATATTTGCAATGCTGCAGGATAGGTTGAGGCTTTAGGGTTTGTGAGACACTATAAGTTGTACCAATATAAGTCAGCATGAGCAGCTTTTGAAGCACCATGCTGCAATCTGTAGTGAATCTCCAACCCAGAAGAAGGGCTTGGGTAAATCCCTCCCTCAAACAAACAAGCAAATTAAAATTAGTTGACAAGTGGAAGTGGTTCTCAGAATTAACATTAGTTAAAGCTTGATAATACTGTTGGAGAAAGGGGCAGGGTCTTAATGGATCGACTGAAAAATAATCTTGGATCCCACGATTCCAGTTGGTGCGCAGTGGTAAAACCCAATTGTAGTGGATTGCTCCTCCTGCCATCCCAGGTTGAACCTTCATAGTAAGTACAATTTCTCATTTCATTGCTGAAAAGAAATGTATCAAATGAGCATACAGGATTCTTCTTTTCTTTTTTTTCCTTTTGTTTACATTTTTGTTTACATTTTCCCTTTTCTTTTTCAAACGCATTTTAAAGCCAATGGCTTTACCAGCAGTTTCACGTTGAAGATATTCAAGCCACCAGCATGCATCCTTCCCTGAATAACACTGAGAAAGGAAAAAAATGTGTCTCTAGCTTTTCTCACTGCCATAGCCTGTAGCTCCTGCCAGCTTTTTAAAAAATGTCAGATTCGAAAAATAAAGTAAGAAAATAAAGAAGGCCATTCCCCAACTGGACTCTGACAGATTGGGCAAGAAATTGGGACATCTATTACAGTCCATATGTAATAAATTTTGTATATGAATTTTTTAAAAATGGTAAATGTTTAAAAAAATACTGAATGTCACAGTAGTAATAAATACTGGCTTTGAAATCTATTCCAATTATTTTGGTACAAACTTGGGACATCCAGAATTTCAGTGTTTATATTTAGTACGTTAAAACTTGTATTTGTTGAAATATAGTGCAATTAATATCCTCTTTAAAATAAATTAATTATTAGAATATTCACAACAGAAAACATGTAACTCTTTTGTTCTTTTTACCCCTTTAATACTTGTACTATAAAAAGAAATACATTAAAATATGATTTTAAAAGAGAATTATTTTTCTCCTCAGAACTCTTTAAAAAGAGGCAAAGTAGACACTTTTGTTATAAACCCAAAATGTGTAACTCTTGGTGAACTTTTTGGAGAGACAAATCCCAGCACAATGGAATGGTCAGATGGTCTGCTGTCGTCAGCAGTTAGAAGTTTTGCCAAACTTGCAGTTAGAAAACCTAAGAAAAAAGACACAAGCCTTGGTAGAAATTCTGAAATGCAGGACTTATACACGGTGAGTACAACACTTTTGTTATTATAATTGCATTGATAATTTATATCATACTCTGTAAATATACTTTTGTATTGTGTCATACTGTTGTAGCTAACCTTTAAACTTCCCGAAATGTTTGGACTTCACTTCTACATAAAGATTAATTTCCTCTGTATTCCAGCATGAGGAATTGCAGTTACCTACCTGATATTTACATAGCCTTACATAAAATACTTCCCATTACATAGTTTTTAGAAAGAATTATGAGTGAATGAATATATGAACACCTGGCCTTACATGCTTATTTATAATTCCAAAAGAAAATATTTTATGATCTTAGTGATTTAGATCAAAGAACCAATTTAGAAGGCAAACACAATATTTTCAACAGCGTCAAGGTTGAAGAGAGGTTCAGTTTCAAAAAGAGGAAGGCCTCAATACTGAAAGGTGAACAGCACTAGTTGGTGGCAGATTACTACTATACAGAGATGAATGGATTCATCAGATCAATGAATAATTCAAGTGGTTACATTGGGCTACAAAATCCCATTTGATTCTGTGAAGAGAAATACACAGGTATTTCTCTTCACCAGTGACAAACGACTGCAAGAAAAGGCAGGTAGTTGTGAAGGAAATTCAATGTTTACTGGACATAGGACATAGGACCAATATAAAAAGTTCCAGAGACTCATCTAAAGGAAATTAACTCAAAATATATACAACAGAACACAGAAGGTATTCAAGTAATGATGCAGAGATTGAAATGTGAAAAGGGGACAATTGGATGTTGTTCATGATCTGCAATTCATGCTAGATGGATAGAACAGAGTCTAAAGCCAAACTCACAGAAATTATCATTGCCATTGTCAACTCTATTAAGACAATCAATCAGTATTATCTCATCCTGATGTAAAGATGTTTTTGAATGGGGCTTCAGGTTCAGATGGATTTCCTTCATGGAATTTAAATTTAGTTTTTAAAATACTGTCAAAAACTCTGTTGAAACCAATGAAAATAAACCAGTGTCTGAACCCAAGGGGCAGCTGCTCCCACAGAAGTTGAGGAAGCAGGAATCCATTTTGTTTC